GAGTGTCTTCATAGTTTTATTTTGGAGATACACCAATTTTTATATACTGCAGGTAAAACAAAAAACAATCCTATGATGCAAATTTGCAAAGAAAACAGCACGTGCATCAAAATAAACTATTTCCAGCTGTGCAATTCGAGTTCTAAGCATCCCAGAAACTATTCAGAAAAGTCAAACATGACCAGTATAGGCTTTTAAGGCCTACAAGTAAAAAACTACATTTCCGCGAAAATGACGTCACTTCCGGTTTCGGTCAGGAAATGGCGGACATGAGACAGTTCGCGCTGACATCTGTTTCACTGTGGGAAGTGTTATGAACAGCTGATCGGATCGGCAAAGCGTGTTTCTGGAATATTATGTTTTTGTTCCTGCAAGCGCTTTTTATGCAATTTTTGCAAAGCTATATGTGGAACGAAACCATGACCGAGGACAAGCTGATGGCATCAGATGTAAGTACAACTCCTCTGGTTTCATATGCAAAACAAATTATTGCGCTACGTGGTTCAGATTCTACAGGGATTTAAAAATAGTTACGCAAAACGGAGTGTGCTGCTCTGACCGGCTTCAATGACTTTAAAAAATAATATAAAATAGTGTGCAACACCACTGAAGTTTTTTCTTTTTTTTTACCTCTCTTTTAACTTCTGCTTAGCTTTCCGAGCTTCCCTCGGGTCCTCTTAATCAGCGGTCTCCAACCTTTTTTGCGCCACGGACCGGTTTATGCCCGACAATATTTTCACGGACCGGCCTTTAAGGTGTCGCAGATAAATGAGGGAGGGCTAATAATCGGCTCAGTCATTTTTAATGATCGTTGAAAGCCCAGATCGTAATCGTGATTAAAATTCGATTAATTGAGCAGCCCTTATTGAACCTAGATTTCTTTTTCTAATAGGGAATAATACTGTCTTCTGGGGCAGCTACGCAGTTTATGAATAAACTGTTAACTGGGAGGAGCTGCAATAAGTCAGACAACAGGTTCAGGCTGTGCAGAGACAGGCCTGCCTCATTACACCAGCACTATTGACTCATTAGGGTGAGGGTTTCCTCTGCAGTTACAAGGCAGCAGTGGACCATCACAGCTATATAGCCACTTCTGCTAATGAGCAAGCTGTCAGATATGGAAAAGAACATGGCTTGAGACGAGTTTGTGTTTAAACAAAACTGAAAAATAGTCTCTTGTTTTGAGGGAAAATGATTTCTTTTAACAAGCAACGCCTAAATATTTTAACTGACTCAACTTCAGCTGAAACGTAAAACTAAAAACAGGTAAGATGGACAATTAACTTTTTTTTTTTAAAGATGCAGGAAACCATTTGATTTACTATTAAACTGACACAGTCGTTTTCTCAGTCAGATTTTCTGCAGTCATGAGCATTACTCTTACATCCCAAACCTCTAACCCAGACAGTAAGTAGTGTCCGGCCCCTCAGGTCCCAAGCACAGGTAGTCATTTCAACTACCTGTGCTTGGGACCTCAAAATACTAAAAATCTGCTGTCATAGCAGATGTTTGAAATTCTGACATTATTTAAAAGGGAAGCATTCAATTTAATGAGCCGTGGAATGGTCCATGTGAACATCTTAAGTGGCCTCTGACTCCATAACACCATACCATAGTTTATTTATATAGCACAAACAAAACATGGCCGAACAAAGTGCTGTACAGCAGAAACATAAAAAATACAATGAAAACATATAAAAATACAATAAGAATAATAAATACAGTAAATAAATAACAATAAAATAATAGTGTCAGTTACCCACTGAGTCAAAGGCCAGCAAATAAAAATGACTTTTTAGTCTGGATTTAAAAACCAGCACTGATGTAGATTGTCTAATAGGCAGAGGAAGATCACTCCAAAGCTTCGGGGCCACAATAGAGAACGCTCGGTCTCCTCTAAGTTTCAAACGTGATTTAGGGACTGAGAGCAACAGCTGTTAGCGAGGGGGGACACAGGGCTTCAGCAGATCGGACAAATATACAGGTGCCAGACCATTTAAGGATTTAAAAACCAGTAAAAGGATTTTAAAATAGATCCTAAATTGAATTGGAAGCCAGTGTAAGGAGGCCAGAGCTGGAGCAATATGCTCAAATAATACTACAGTTATGCACAAGTATTTTCATGTGTCGCAGCTAAACTGTATGTGTAGAGATAATGGTTCTTAAAGTACAGAACATAAAAAAAATAAAAGAACTACAAATATGTTGGAGGTTTGTCAGCTAGGTGACTGCAGTGTTTGTGGTTTTTCTGGGGACAGCTCAGCTCTGTGAACTTTATTTCTTCTTGTTTTGATTTGGTAATTTTTTTAATTTTTACTTTTTGTTTGTTTGTTTTTTTAACTTCCTGGTTATGTTTACAAATCAACTGCTGCTTGTGAACCTTTAAAAATGGTGTTCAGCTTATGCATTTAAATTGGACTCTGAGACTGGGCTGGTATTCTTGCTCAGCGACAACCAAACAACTGACCTGCTTATGGCTCTGGATGAAAACAAAAATCACTATTAATAATATTTTAATATTTGCACCGAAACCCAATGCTTGCTGGGTGCTGTATAGCTGAGATTAATGTCTCCAGAGCCTAAAAACAAGATAAAAGTTACATCTTCTAAACTAATAAAGTGACACAAATCAGCTAACATCCCTCAGAGGTCATCCACCCATGAGATTTCAGGAGGGCCCTGGGACAGCAGCCAGCTCCCCCCAGGCAAACAATCTATTGCTTCTACTATTAAGATAAAATCAGATCATGTTTTTAAAACTGGGGCATTAGAGTGGGACAAACTCATGTCGCCCGACAGAAAGCCGTCCTGCGCTTATTCTCTTTCACTGACGTGACTGGGTGTTACAGCTGGGAGGAGAAGTAGGTGTGTTATTTCAGGTCATTCCAATGAGAAAATTACGAACAGAGAGCTCCAGTAATTCCAGTGTGCATCAGACACTAATGTATAACAGTGAAAAACAAGAGAACAACAGACCCTGTGTAAGCAGGCCGAGATAGGAAAAAAAGACATTTTGTGAACTAATGTGTTTACAGTGTCCTACTGCAGGTAGTTCAGAGGAACTACAGGACACCACAGGCGCCACCGACACAACCACCCATGTCCCGTTTCATGCACCCTGGATTCAAATCTCGCCCTCCTGCTCTGAGAAATTGCTCGTCAATCAGAGGCCAAAGGCAGCCAGTGACAAATCGCTCGTGTATGGAGTCTGTCTCTGTCTACTAAAGAAACTGAGAGATTTGTCTCCATCGTCTCCTTTATGCCGGGATGACACGTAGTCATTTCAGGCTAGCAGGTGGCCCTTTGTCTGTGATGATCTATTGATTTCCTTCTCCCGTCCTCCAGCTTGATTTCTCAATCTCCCACTCTTTGCTGTTGTTCTACCGTCATCATCGCCTGGAGAGAAGATGGAAGGACAAACAGCTGCAGCCAGCAAAACTGTTTAAAAAACAAAGAACAAAAATGTGCGGGAAGACGGAGTCCCACTCTTGACTGGCTGCTGAATCGTTGATGCTTCATGTGTGAAAAGAAACCGTTTGAAAAATGGTTTTTCAGCTTTGTGACACGTCTGTGTGCAGCCACAGAGAGATTCAAACAAGCGTTTTGCAACATGTTTGCAAAGGGACAAGTGCAGACTAACATCTGCTTAGCAGATCAAAATGTACCCTTTTTTTGGACTGACAAACTTTTATTTCCACATTTTAATTCAACTTAAGTACATGACCCCGGGTTTGATCCACCACCTGGCCGGGGCCTTTCTGTGGGGAGTTTGCATGGGTTCTCTCCGGGTACTCTGACGTCCTCCCACAGTCCAAAGACATGCAGTTAGTGGGGATCGGTTACTGGCAGTTCTAAATTGCCCATAGGCAACTGAACTCCACTGTTGCCTCACAGCAACCATCTGGGTTTAAATCCACTAGCCGGTACTCTGACTTCCTCCCTGAGTCTAAAGACTTAGACGTCACATTGGCTAAATTGGCTGTAGGTGTGAATGGTTGTCTGTTTCTCTGTGTTAGCTGTGTTATAGACTGGATAAACATTTAAGAAGAGACTTTCGCCTCTTTATTGTTTTTTTGGTGCCAGAAGTGACTTCATGTGGATAAAAGACTTTATATGGAGTACTATCAGCTAACACTAGTAAGCTTGGTTAGCAAACTGCATCCAAAAAAAGTGTGTCATATACATATTTGCCTAATAAAATACATTTCACTAATGAAAACCAAAACATTAACTTTATGAACAACAAGCTACAATATTAGTCAGAAATTTCCATTAAAGTTGCTCCAAATGGCACCAACAGGATAAACATATTAAAGTTCAGTGACTCCAGTTAGCAGAGATGAGGCCTCCAGCCGTCTATGGCAGAACACCAACGCCCCCACGTCCCCTCCAGTGTCCAGGTCACCCCGCTCAGAGGCAGTTTAAAGGTTTAAAGGGTGCAAAAATCATCAAGGCCAAACTTTCTATCTGTTGTACTGAGCTATGAGCATGATTTCTGATGCTGTCAGGCATTCAAGGTCACTGGAGGACTTTTAAACATTAGGAAACCTCTTACTGTTTTTCAAACATCTGCTCAAAATATTCAATTTTTGCTTATTAAATATCTTCAAAACTAATGAGAGCACCGCCAGCCTCAGCTGTGCATGATTAAAGTCTTAGCATGCCTACAAACTGAAGACTTCTAACACTGGTGCAAAACCTCAGGCTGTGAGAAAAAGGTCAAGGTCTTAAAAAGAGGACTCTGTCAAAACTTAAAGAAAACTGTTTATATTTCTTTTTTTCTTTTATCGCTAAGACAAAACAAAAAGTGTGATGAGTGGATACCGTTGTTCCTGGATGATCAAGTTCTCTGTATCTTGGACACAGACACTGCAGAGTCAATATGTCTGTATCAGGTTTTGGAGATCACTGAAGTGACTTAATGTGAAATAATGTAGAAATACAAATAGCATATACAAAAAAAGCGCAGCAGAGAAAGAGCCAAAATAATACGCTCTTACCTGGGGGCCCGTGGAGTTTGGCTTTCTTTACTGAAAGAAGAAGAGAGAAAAAAACCTATTAGTCCCAATGTGATGAAGAGGATGAAGAGGATTCTGTGACTCATCAGGATTATATACTCTTAGATATTTCAATGGAATTTAATTTTTGAGGGACTGAACAATGTTCTAACCCCTCTACACTCTTATTCCTGATTGTTGATGTACTTCAAAAATAAAATTGTGCAATAAAATTTCATAAAATTAACCCCAAGCCTATTAAATAACAGTTCAATGTGTTGTATGACTGTAGGAAACAAATACAGTTTTTATATTTGATGTATATTATTGTGGTTGAAACAGTATTGGCACTGTTGCAATAGCTGCAGGAAGAATGGACTGTGTGAATCAACAATCAGCGAGGAAATGAGTTGTGAAAAGACACTGACACAATCTGCTAAATCCATAAATATTAACCTAGAATAAGTTAACCCAGCCAAACACTGGAACCGTTCATAGAGATCACACATCCGTGATAAGAAACAGTTCATAGTTTATCTTGTGGGTGGAAGGATATGGGACACATTTCTCACTGCATACATCCTACTGGAATCTTTTCAGTGACTTCACATAATTTACTATAAGCCATAGCTTCCACCTTGATGAACGGCTGATGGTACTTTGGGTGCTTTCTTATTTCCACAGTGGATAAATCTGCATGTTTGAGTTGGAAGAGAGTTTATTCCTGATGCACTTCCTGATACAACCCTTCTTCCCTGTAGAATTTTGCTTTTAAGAAGGTTTTGGTTATTATTTCCGTCCTGGTACTGCACGCATAATACTGCACGCAAAACAAACAGACAAATCCATCTTCTACCAAACAAGAATGGGAAAACATTGCTTTCTCAAAAATCCAACAGCTGCTCTGTTCCCAGATGTTTTTGGACTGTTGTTAAAAAAAAGAATGAGTGCATGCTACGCAGTGGTAAACATCACCCTGTCACAACTTCTGAAAAGTATTGCTGTCATCAAATCCAGAATAGACTAATACTTTTCCTAAAATGGTACATTTTCTCAGTTTAACCATTTGATTGGTTTTCTACATTCTATCATGAATAAAATGTGAGTTTATGAGACATGTTTCTGTTACATGTTTAGTTACTTCTTTGCTAATCAGTAATCCTATTAGCTACACTAGCGCCGCAGTAATTGGTGGAATAAAGCAACTGTGTTACTAGTTCAAGCTGCACCTGTTGGCACGACAATCCCAAATGTGTGCCGATGGCGTTCACAAACTTCGTTGGCCACGCCCCCACCCGCCTGATCAGCGGGCTGATGTCAATATTCCTCAGCCATTTACGACTGAGGGGTTTACAACATTTAGCCAAGCAAAATAATGTATTCTGATTACAGTTTTACAGCAACACGCAAACCTGAATATGACTACAGCTCGCTCACTTTCAAGGAAACATGATGCTGCAGTTACATTTCTCCTCTCAGTCCAGCTTTCTGAAGCAACCGTTCTTCATCTATGACTCCGTGTCTTTGCTACTATGTGGATTCAAACAGAATAATCGAGCAGAATGGGGCTCTCTTTATGCTCTACTCAGTTTCCCAGCTCAGTTGATACATTTAAGAACCTAAAGTGATACACAGGCCTTATTAAAATGTATAAAGAGCCTTGAGTTTGACACATGTCATCTGTATACACATTTTTGTGCGTTTTGTTGGCTTTACTGTAATGTTGCATTTTAAACTTTTGCTGAGCAAAGCATCAAGCAGCGACTTTTGTTTGCACAACAGGAACTATGTGAAAACTAAACCTTATGTTCCTGATGGTGTTGCAATCAATGTATTTATTCTGAGGGCTAAATATTATTAGTCTCTAAAGAGCAGCATGACAAAAATTTGAGAAACTGCTATTATAAGCTAGCATTTAGAGAAAAAGGGGTTATTTGTCTAGAAAAAAAGCACTCAATAATATTTTATATTTAAAAAAAAAAACAGAGCTGAGATTTTAAATGTACTGAGACCCAGAATGCCTTGAAATTCACAAGAGAGTCTTGAAATGCCAACATGTTCTTGGCTTCAGGCTTGAAAGTCCCCGATATTGATCTGCAGTTCAATCAGGCCTCCCTTAAATCTGTTGCAGTCATTTGACTATGCAGCAGTATGAAAGCTTATTGCCTTTTTAGGGCTAATTCAGTTATTTAAATCCAGTTTAGACACATGTTTTCACTGAGGAAGATCAATATGCTCATTCAATCACAGTCAGAGTGAGAGATGTGATAAGAAAAACAGAGAGAGAGAGAGAGAGACTGTTAACAGGTCATTTATCTTAGGCTGTCAGCACAGCTTGCTTTGTGTGTCAGTCGTGCCAGCTCGGCAGAGGCTCACAGTGGCCTCGTTGGTCAAGTGCCAACTGGGCTCTGACGCTACCTGTATGAATGACCCAACACTGTGAGAGAAGATGTGATTTAGTCTCATTCAAAAATAAATAAATGTGAAACAGGTGACTCAAGGGTAGCGCCACTGCTTTATATAAATGTAAAAAGTGTTCTGAAACTTTAGCTCACATGTTCTGAATTTACTTTACAAAATATTCAGTGTAAAGTTGGCTCTGTTTGCCAGTGAGCCACCTTTCAGAATCACAGCTCCTAACGGAGAAGCATTAAAACCAACATTAAAACAACACAGCTCATATTTGTAACTGTGTGACAACAGATGGCAGCTGTCAGGTGTTACACCTGAGTCCGAGGTAATGCACAGCGCAACATTGTTTCGATTCAAGTCGATAAAACCGGATCAGCAGCTCATTCAAATTAAAATCAAAAAGAGCCTTATCATGACACACATGATTGGCAGCGTCGGACATGTGACTTGTGCAAAGTTTATACTTAGACATTATATAACGTACAAAGGATTTAAAGCCCTACCAGATGTGATGATGTGCGTTTGTGACATTTGAGCACAGAGTCATCTCTGAAACAAGGCACCAAGGATCAAAATGATGCAGCACAATCAAAAAATCCTTCAAAACCTGAGAGCGACAATGCAACATCAGAATGAGTTCTGAACTTCTGCCTGGTGGAAAAATGCATCCTCTCCCCTTAGTCTGATGTGTATGGAAGCCTGTTTCCGCCACTAAAGGAAAAAAAAGGCTCCATAACTCGAAATTTCGAGTCATTTTCTCAACATTTCAACTTTTTTCCCTCAAAATTTCGACTTACTTGAGTTAGTTATTAACTCAAAATTGTGAGAAAAAGTGACTCAAAATATCGAGTTAGCGCTGCCAATCAGTAATCTATGTGAATGATGTCATTCCTTGTTGCCCGGAAGCTGAAACCCTCAGGTACAAATGCTACAGCTAAGCTACCGGTATTACATCCAGTCATGAATGCACAGATTGCTGAGTATTTTCAGCGTGGCTTCAAAAATGATGAAATCCTTGTGTTATTAGCTGAATCACATGACATTACTATCAGCAAACGTACTCGCGAAAGCGCCAATTTGTTGCGATCCAGTTTTGAGTGCGTGTTACAGGTGTTGGGTAGCACAAGATATCCTGATTTGTTTAAAGCAGCCTAAACCTCAACTTCATGCAAATGAAGCGCAGCCAATACAATGTTCTCTTTGAAGACAGCAACGAACAGGAAGTGCTGACAAACTGGCAGAAAACAAAGGCTTGTAATGAAAAAAAAAATCACCTAAAATATAAATGCAAGTGCATCGCTACACCAGACAGAAGCACTCTTTAAGATCTGGACAAATAAAAAAGCGATGGTCAGTGTCACATTTTAGTGCTTGCAGAGGTCAGCATCCCTCTGGGCTACAGGGTTGGTGAGGCTGATCAGAGGTAGTAAAGCAGGCACGTGTCCTCTGGAGTGATTGTATGAGAGGATGCGTGCTGCTGGTGACCGCGTGTTTAGCTGGTGGGATAATCCCTCCAAGCTAATGCTTTAAGCGGGGCTGAAATCTACCAGACCCTGCTACATTGTTCTGTGGATGAATTACAAAAGAGACATAGGAAAGCAGAAAGACTTCTTTTCATTGGTCAGTAGCTAACTCTCAACCTTACAAAGTTTTTTCTTTCTTAATACCTGAAAAAAATAAAGAGACTGAGAAAACCCATTTGGGGAAAAGAGCAGGCTGATGTTCGTGTGATGACTAGTGCACTGGATTAAAGCTGCTACTGAGGAGCACTCAAACACACATCTGTAATGGCTCCATACGCAATGGAGGACGTGGATGACAAGGCATTGTGTTTTTGCACAACACAATGCTTATACTGAAGCTTATATTCAAGCACAGCAGGATTGATAATATATTTCATTTGGTTCTTTAAATGCCCAATTTAAAATATATAATTATGTTTGCTTGAAAACAAGTTTACTGAGCCATCTTGTATCTATCCTGAACTTTCAGGGTTTGCATTATATAACTTTTCATTGTCATTTTAAATACAAGGCCCAAAGAGAGGGAGGTCATCATTAGCAGGACAAGTAGATTTTTTCTTTTAATGAAATCGATACAGCATGGTATCACAATACTATTGCAAAATTGCAATATTGTATCCATTCAGGGACAAAGTTACATTACTCTAGGAATACTACAAACATGCATATCGTCCTGAGATAACGGTAGCCGAGTAAAATTAAATTAAATTGGCTCAAAAAACAGCGAACAAAAAAACAACTGGACACACTTAGCTTCACAAATTCAGAGCCAACTGGTGCCTGACTTGAACTGACTGCACTCGCTCTCAGAGAGATTATCAAAGGTTTAAAAAAAGATTGCTGTCTAATTTACAAATGCAGTCAGATTGCCAACATGTTGCCATCAATCTGAATGAGTGTTTGTCAGTGAGCAAAGGCAGCTCGCTGGTTATATTCTGGCTACATTCCTATATAACAGGAAGGTTGATGAGCACAAATGTAATAGTTAAATGTCAATTTCTGTCAAAGTGGACGGCAACAGATGTGGGATTTTTAATGATTTATCACGGCTAATTGTTAGATTATCAGAAACATGCCTAAATCATAATGGTAAACGGC